AAAAAAAGCTCAAGTGTGACCACAGCCATTAACAGGTACTTTGAAAGTCACTTTGGAAGGGTTTCGTTTAAAACTGGATAAAGAGGCGGCTTCCCTAAGTGACAGATCAAGGGAATTCCACTCATTTGCAGCAAAGGTGTTACTGGTCCAATGGCCCCACCTTCTTTTTGCTGTGGTTTTCGTAACATTATTCCAAGATGGGTTATTATAATAATGCAAATCGCGATTAAAACTTAATTCAGAGGCATCAGAAAAAAGATTATTGATTTATAAACAAAAAATAGCGCTGTGCACGGCTCTTCTGGGCATTAGTCGTTGCCAATGTAATTTCACTACAGTGTCGCTAGAAGATGGGCTTAGGGTTGAGATCTAAAATAATATGGGCAGCTTTATTCTGAAGCACTTGCTAATGTCAAGTTTCCCCGGTCACCCCAGATGATGTTTGGACATTAAAAATGTGGTAAACCAAAGCCAGTTAAAAAGGTCAACCTAGCCGTAAGAGTCAAAAAAGTTTTAATGGATCTCAGGAGACCTAGATTCTTATTGAGCTTTCTGCAAATGTGTTCAATGTGATCATTCCATGACAAGTTCTAATTAAATTGCATTTGTACTATGCTGAGGTATGAAATTGTTTTTTCTTTCTGTTTAGTGACATTGACATCTTCCATTCTCAAAAATTGTAAAAGTAAGTAGTCTTTGTAAAGAAAACTGAAAAAAGCTTAAGGAATCAGATGGAAGTTCAAAAAAAAATTAAGAAATATCCATATTCTTAATGTAGTCTCTGACAATCCAATTTTACCCCTGGACAGTTGCACCTCCGGCCTCGTTTGGTCCGTCTCCTTGTTGAATCGCACCCCCCTAAAAATACTGGCTACGTGCCTGCAAAGTTGAGATTCTCGTCAATGTAGACTCCTAGTAATTTGATTTGCTCTAGATCTGTTACATGAAGCTTTTCTTTTATTGTAAGAGGCAATTGCAAATGTACATGACGTACACGTGGTCTCAAATTACCATTACATCCTGGGTATTCTGTGTTTTACATGCTTGTTATACACTTTTTTTAGACATTCGAAATCTTCAGATTCATCATCTCTGGAGCATTCTGAAACAATTTTTGAAAGATTTTAAAAATAATACACAATTATTGCGGAATTTTTTAAGGCAACAATCACCGCTTCGTTTCAGACTTTGCATCACCTGGGAGACAATAGTTTACAGGAGGATACTGACCATGTGCCGCCAAAACTGTATCCCATACGCTGTTGGCGTTTTCTCCTTCCTCTCCCAAAGTATCTGTCCCACCTGGGAAATGTGATAAGTTGCTGAAAATTAACAAGGAGGTTTTTCGGTTACTTATACCGCCTCACTATACCAAAATGCTAAGAAATCCAAAGGGACATTATCTTTCCTTTGTAAAGGCTGAAAGTATGCAACTGCTTTTTTGAGGCTCTGTTTAAAACCACCAATTCTATTGTAGAAAATGAAAACGAGTGTGCATCGACTGCAAGTGACAAGGGTGAACTTTTTAATAATTTTTTTGTCTCAGTATTTTCATCTGAGCCAGAATTTTCTACTAATGATCATGTTTACCACTCATATACCGGTGAAACCATTCAAGATTTTAGCTGTACTGAAGCAGATGTTAAGAAATTGCTGTTGGGTTTAAATACCGATAAAGCTTGTGGACCTGATGGAATAACAGCTCGTATGCTTAGAGAATCAGCATCGACAATTGCACCATCCTTATCAAAGATATTCAACATCTCTCTAAAGTTAGGCAAACTACCCAGTGAATGGAAATTTCCTAACATCTCGCCAGTATTTAAGAAGGGAGTAAAAGAGACTGTAACTAACTACCGACCAATCTCCTTAACATGCCTTGTGGTTAAAGTGCTGGAGAAACTTATCGCAAAGCATATTTCAGTCTTCATCACCATAATCTACTAAGTGTCCACCAATATGGTTTTAGAACGGGATTATCATGCACATCTCAACTGATTCATCTGTTCCATACCTGGGCCTCAGCGTTAGACAATGGACAAACAACTGACGTTGTGTTTTTAGACTTTGCGAAGGCTTTTGATTCGGTACCTCACAAACGTCTTATTCATAGAGTCAGTCAATATGGTATACAAGGACAAATTCTAAATTGGCTGTGTGACTTCCTTTCGAATAGACGCCAGCGGGTCGTTATTGACGGTTCCACCTCCAGCTGGGCTACAGTACTTTCAGGGGTTCCCCAAGGGAGTATTCTTGGGCCTCTCCTATTTTTACCCTACGTAAATGAAATCCCCGAATGTATTCCTTGTTCTAGTGATATGTTTGCAGATGATACTTTCCTCCATAACTCAGCACCCGTCAATGAAGTCTCAATTCCAATCCAAGCTGGTATACTCTGTATGTCCAACTGGTGCAGGCAGTGGCTTTTAAAGGTGTGTGAAGCTAAATGCAAGTGCATGAGAATAACAAGATCTAAGGTTAATGGGCAGTGTTCGTATTCCATCAACTCTTTACCCCTGGAACAAGTAGTTACCCACAAGCATCTGGGTGTAAAATTCTCATCTGATCTATCTTGGAAACATCATGTCCTTGCAATAGCTGCTAAAGCCAACAAGATCTTGGGTCTACTTAAACGCACATTTGGCAGGTGCTCTGAAGCAATAATAACTGGATACAAAACAATGGTTCGTCTTATCATCGAATACGCATGTCCCGTTTGGAATCCACATCAAGCTTACCTGTGAGACAAACTTGAAAGAATCCAAAGAAATGTCTCACGCTGGATCCTTGGTGGACCTATTGATTATACCGAACGTCTGCAATACCTTGGTTGGATGGAACTTAAGTCCCGTAGGGAATATCTATCGATAATTCAATTATTTAAGTTTATTAATGGTTTCTCGAGAGTTAAGCTTGACAATTATTTATCTTTCTCTCGTGCTAGCACTAGATCAAGAAATAATAGGAAGATTTGGAAACCTTTTTCAAGAACTAATATTTTAAAATTCTCTTTCTGGCATAGATATATAGATAAATGGAACTCGTTACCAGATTCTCTAATATGTGCCGATTCATTGTCAAAATTTAAAAAGGGCTTAAGAGAACACTTTTTAACTAGTACGTAATGAACACAAAATTGTTGCGATTGCATATCTAATTTGATAATTAGATAATTTTAATAACTCCATTATTAATAGATATATTTTAGTGATATCTTTTACATTTCTTCTTACATTATAATAGTCCTTATCTGACTTATATTTCCTTAATAGCTTTGTAGATATTTTTAGGGGGTCATCTTACATGAGGATTCAGTTCCTCCCTGATGGCAGCCTTTTTTTATTGATTATTACAAATAAAGTTGTTATAAATAAAGAAAGAAACAGAGGCCTTAAGAAGTGACTTACTGCCACTGATGATCCATAAATGATGACCTTGAAAACAAAATCCACAATTCTTTGCTGGAGTGAATGATGATAATCTTTATTGAGGATGCCAGCTTCACCTAAACTAGTGATTTACAGGGTCCTCTTTGACCAAAATCACGAATAGAAACAATTATGTTCAAGTTTAAAGTTGAAAAATTTACATGATGAAAGTTTAAAAAATGATAAAAGTTCTAAAAAATGAGATGTACGTCAATAAATATAAAACTAAAAGTCTCAAATGATACATTTACTGACATACAAACAGGTAGTAAGTATTCACTTTTTAACAGGTACTTTGAAAGTCACTTTGGAAGGGTTTCGTTTAAAACTGGATAAAGAGGCAGCTTCCCTAGGTGACAGATGAAGGTAATTCCACTCATTTGCAGCAAAGGTGTTACTGGTCCAATGGCCCCACCTTCTTTTTGCTGTGGTTTTCGTGTTATTATTCCAAGATGGGGTATTATAATAATGGAAATCGCGATTAAAAGTTAATTTAGAGGTTTGAGATAAAAAGATTCTCTATTTATAAACAAAAAATAGCGCGGTACACGGCTTTTCTTTGCCTTAGTGGTTCCCAATGTAATTTCACTACAGTGTCACTAGGAGATGCGCAAAGGGGGAGATCTAGCCAGAATACTTCAGCGAGATACTGAAGTTGTCGCCATCTCCTCCGGGAATGTTAGTCTTTCTTACTGAATGAACCAGGAGGTAGGCACGGACCTGATCGAAGGAGGAGTAAATGATTCGGTGTAAGTGCTTCGCAATCCTTAGGGTCATCAGAGGATTTCGTTATCAACCTGCTATTGACAATCGCCTCAACTTCACACATAAGCGTTGACAACCCCTCGTAATCGAGTGCTTGTTCCTTTAGAACTGCATTGAGGACCTTTCTAACCGTCCTGATGCAATGCTCCCAGAGACCCCCGTGGTGAGAGCCTGAAGGAGGATTAAAGATCCACTTGATGTGTTTCTGCAGGAAGAACCCGTGAATTTTCTGCACATTCCATTGAGAGATGGCGGAACTAAGCTCTTTGTTGCCACCGATGAAGTTCGTGCCATTATCTGACCGCATCAACTCCGGAGTTCCTCGCCGCGATGAAACGTCTCATCGAGTTAATAAAGAAATCAGTGTCCATGCTGTAGGCTACTTCAATGTGCACTGCTCGTGTAACTAGACAGGTATACAGAACACCGTACCTCTTGACTTGACTTCTTCCTCTTTTGACCAAAAACGGGCCAAAACAATCCACGCCAACGACAACTAAAGGGAGGCTTCTCGGGGGTAACTCTATCTGCAGGGAGATCTGCCATTTTCTGTATACCAACAAGAGATTGTCTCCTCTTACAGTCAAAACAGTTGTTGATGGCGTTCTCCATTGTGACTCGTCCCTTGACTATCCATAGCTTCTCTCTAATCAATGATAGAACATGTTCCTTACCAGAGTGACCAGAGATCAAATGATAATGTCTTACGATCAGGTCTATGACATGATGCCTCTTCAGCAGTATAACGAGATGTTTACTTTCTTCCTGAATTGGCGCGAGCGACAGGCGTCCTCCAACACACAGGAGACCATTAACTATCACTGGATCAAGCTTGTAAATTGGACTTGATTTCTTTACGACGCGAGTCTTCATTCGCTTTTCCACTGTTGGGTCGCACCTCTCTTTCTTCTCATTTCGTGCAAGCCTTAACTCTTTGACGAAGCTTTGTTTCTGTACATGCTTGAGTATTTGCACTTCTGCTGTCTTGATCTCTTCCGCAGATATCGGTTCTGGTTTCCCATTAACAAGCTGCTTAACTACACCTTCCTTACGTCTGCGACAAGATTGCAGGAGCTTCAGGGGGTGACGCAAGATCCATGCGATAAACTTCTTCAAACGAAACCAAGACGAAAAGTAACTGATAATTCGCCTGAACATGTCGTTTTCACCATCTGCTTGAGTCGTGACGACAGCTGTCTTCGCTTCTCTCTTAACTTCCAGATCATCTTCCTGAACGTCTCTCACAACATTCTGCTGTTCAGGCCAAGACGATTCTTCCTTCCACAGAAAGTCGGGGCCGCAAATCTGCCGTTTGCTGGAACACAACTCTTCAGCCGACAACCCTCTTGACGCGTCATCTGCCGGGTTGGAACCAGTATCTACGTATCTCCAATGACTTGCGCGAGATCCCTCGTGGATGGCAGCAATTCTGTTTGCGACGAAGGTTTGAAACCTCTTATCTCGGTTGGCAATGTAGCTTAAGACACATGTACTATCTGACCAAAGGAAGGACTTGTCAATAAACACATCTAACTCATAATCGAGGGATAGTAACTGATTTCTTAGGCGTCTGCCTGGATTTTCCATTGAGAAATGAACATCTCTGCTGCTGTTCACAACACGAAGATATGTTAGCTCCATAACCACGCTGAGAAGCGTCTGAAAATGTGTGTAGTTGCCGTGACAACGTCACCAAAGTCCTTAGGTTGAAAGCATCGAGGGACGCTGAACTCTTGCAGCTTAGGAAGCTCCTTCAGCCACGCTCTCCAATGCACATGATAAGCAGGCGGGATCGGATCATCCCAGTTCAATCCTTCACACAGGTCGCACAGGATATTGCTGGTTAAAGGCAGACTTCAGTCAGCGCTTGTTCTTCTTGCACAGCGTTTGCAGCACCATTTGTTGTATGGTGCGGCATCGAATTCCTTTGCATTTATTAGTCTCTTTAAGCGCGTGGAACTTTCCTTTTGGCATCTGGCTGCACACTGACTTCAACAGTTTGAACTCCCGTGTCTCTAGGTCTTCTGGGTCCAGGTGCTGTGCTTGGCTGCGATTTTGAAGCGAAAGACATCTGACTGTACGTCCCACTGTACGCCCAAGGCGTGCCCTACTGGCAAGTGGTCAAGGTCCAGGTTCTTGACGGAACCCGCTCTCTCAGATACCGGGACTGATTCAATGACTGCGCGAGTTGGATAGCCATTTCGTAAGGCAAAAGCCTCCTTTTGCTAAAAGATCACGGAGCTGACCAGCGAGTCGAATGGCATCCTGCTCAGTCTGAACAGATTTTAAGCAATCGTCAACATAAAAGTTCTTTTCTCACTGTCTCAACTGTTTCTTCATCAAAATGATCTTGGTTGTCAGTGGCTGTTCTTCTCAACGCAAAGCTGGCACAGCTTGGATAGGAGACACACCCAAAAACGCAGCTTCTTTCCCAGTCGTCCTCAGCGATTTCGGATGTGACGTCACCTGTCAAGCTTGTCGGGAAAATTTGCCTAGGACGCCTGGCAAATAATGCCAAATCCAAAATGGCGGCGCCAAGAATGCGACTTCAGCCAAGATTCTTGAAGAAATAAAAAAAAGCGTCGGAAATAGGTTGGGATTCTTTAATCAACGTTTGCCATCAAATACCTAGAGATGATGGAGAATTTTCTTTCAAGGAATCGTTCCGCGTGTACACCTGTTATTATTGTAGGTCAGTAATTTCGAGTTTTGATTGTATCAAAAAATATGGATTTAATTCAGCCCAACAAATCGTCGCATCTCAGGAGTGTGTACATGTCCCATTGAATGAAGCTGCCTGTCGGGAATGAGTTAACCCATGTTGAACTTCGTTAAAGATGTGTCATCGAATTAGCTCTGTACTCAGCATATTATCTAGCGGATGCAGAACTTGTTAATCGAATCGTAGCACTGCATGCATTGCAATTCAAAAGAGACTTCTAGCGTAGGTGTAGTCCTAAACGATAGTGGATCAAGTCGTAGATGCTGCTTTTGTCCATTAACTATACAAAACAGAAGTCATGAAGTGCTGTCAACCTTTTGAATACGCCTCAATGTGGCAGATACAAACTATAGGGGCAGTTTACAACATACTGAGTAACATCAGGAGCATTCAAATATCCTGAAACGGCATCAGATGTAAAACACTTTGTGTCCATGCTTTTATAGCATTTAGCATGAATAAAATTTAATTCCATATCCAAGTTATCTTCAACCAGTGTATCTACCCACAATTTAAATGAGATGATCCTTTGGGGACTGTTGAAAACTTTCAGTCAAGCTTTCTTTCTGTTTCTATTAATGTCTGATTCTATTGTTGTTGTTGTTGCACGACCCCATATCTAGGCTCTATGTTCCACTGTACTACTATCTTATGTAAACTTTATCTCAACCGGGTAGGATTAGCTCAGTTGGTAGAGTGCTTGACTGCAGAGTGGGAGGTCACAATTTCAATTCCCGGGGTCGGACCAATACTCAGGATCTTAAAATGACTGAGAAATGAAGGTATTACCTTTGCCCTGCTGCAAATGGCTAGACCTTTGCGTGGCTCGGATGCATGACCATATAAAATGGCAGTAGTAGACGTAAAATAGTGTCCCCAATTATTACCTTTGTGCTGAATACATTGACATTCAAATTAAGTGCTTTCCTTTTTTTCTGTTTTCTTTTTTATCTGGAACCACTTTCGCAGCAGTGGTCTTCCAGTGAGTCATAAGTTTAAAAATAATATTACATGAGTTTTTGGTGCTATTTTCAAAATAGACAATTAGAATGTTCTGCGTGAACTGGGAGCTGCAAGATACAAGTTCAAGGCACTAGGTTATTATGAAGAGCAAAAAGCATATTCAAAGAGCTGAAAATGGCATGTAGCTGGCCCAGCCAATGGTACCATTACGGCATCAAATTAAGTGGAAAAAGGTCTTGAGTTGGTCTTGAAGTTGTTTCCCCAACCCATTCCCACAACAAGTTTTACAAGACAAGAAGTAGTTGTTAGGAGGTTTAAAAAATTTCTCTTAGCAAATTTCACAAGTGTTCAAAACTATGGCTTGTAAGGAAATCAATCTAATTTCCTTATAAAATCAATACAGTTTTGTTTGATGAAACATATGAAATTCAATATTAAACATCATGGTTTCATATTTTTATTTCCATTTCAAGTTTTCTTCAGCTTAATTACATTTTCCTTTTGCTCCTGTATCCTTCGCATCCCCAGTGTCATCTATTACATACTCTCCTTTCACCCCCTTCAAAACTTTCTGAAAATTAATGTAAAGGAAGGTAAAAAAATAGACAATAATATAAATAAAAAACTTAACATTTGATGTTCAATACCTGCATCATTACCGATCAAAAGTTCAATTTCAGCATCGATATGAGGAACATGAATACTCTTCAAATATGCCCATCTATCCACGTCCATTTGGCGCTGGATTTCATCCACTGTAACTGGAAGACTTGGCCTCGAGAAAACGTTCAGTAGTTCGATGGTGTGATTTCCACACAGATCACTAATTTCCAAGCACACCACCTAACTTTGAGATTTGGCATCCTTGTCACTCATAGTCGTTAGCGACAAGGTCGTCTTCGTTCCAGTCGCACCTAGCCGTTCAATCAGCTGATCAGTACAGAATGATGTATTAGAACCTGGGTCGAGGAATGCATATGTTACAATTACAGCCCCTTTTCCCTTCGCTTTGACTTTAACAGGAACTAGCGCCAAACCTATAGTTGGAGCTCCGGCCCCAGTAGAGCCACACAGTCCCTCTGACACACCAACAAAACTATTCTGCGCGCGAACATTAGGCTCGTTGGAAGCTGTACCGCTCGTGGAGGGGCTAGATGGGTTGCTCTCTCTTCGGATGAAGGGAGGTGGAATGTTTGCGATGTTTCAACTTGCAGTTAGAAACTTGACAGAAACTCTGCTTTGGGCAAGTACTAGCCACGTGACCTGATTGAAGACAATTGTCACATAGACCCTTTTCGCGCACAAACTTGTATCTTTCTTCGTAAGACTTTCCTTTAAACAGATGGCAATAGGCAGCCAGTGGTTAACTTCACACAATGGGCATTTTAAGTTCGGATTAGCTGAAACGACATTTTCAGCACCGTCTACACGTTCTGTCTTGTCATCAGGCAAGTTTCCTTGAGTCGCTAAATTAGTACCTTGGGAGACCCTCAATCTCGGGTTTCGGTTTCTCCGCTTAGCATCATTTTTCTCAACAAAGTTCCTTGAAATATTCGTAACGTTTCCACGAACTGGATGGTTGGCCACTAGCCTTTGCTTCAACAAAATCGGCTATATCCTCAATGCTAACTTCTCGTTTCTCACCCTCGGTGATGCTGTCCGCCTTCTCACGCCATTTTTGTCTCAGACCAAAGGGCAACCTTTCAACTATCTTTTGCATGGTGTCTAGATTTTCTATCTTGCTCTGGTACCCGATTTCCTTTAAGGCGTTCTTACAACTTGTAAGCATGACTGAAAATCTTTGCAGGGCTGACGCATCCTCTGATGCCACAGGCTGAATCTTGGTAAGACGTTCAACATATGCAGTAGCAATCTTATAACCCTGGCCGAAACGATTCTTGAAGCGACTGTGCAGTCTCATACCCCTCTTCCGGCTTCATTGGAAGACAGCCACGCATCAGCTGTCTAACATCACCCGCGGTATACTGAACCAAATAGTACAATTTCATCCTAGGATCACTCGTCTGCGACTGTATCAAATTTTCAAAGGCTCGTATGAAGTCTCAGTGGGGTCACCGGAGAAAACTGGAACTTCCGGTTACGGAAGAGTCAATGCCAAAGTTTGCTGCTGCTGATGTTTTAGCAATTCCTGTATCTGTTTGTTTTGTTGCTGCTGTAGTCTCTGAATGTCTAACATCTCACTAGCATTTTTGTCACTGACACTGACGTGGTGCTTGATCGATTTCTCACTGATATTTGCCTCACGTTCGGAAAGGGGTACCAACTTACTTCCCTGCCATTCTGGAGCTTCCTGATTAAGAGAGGAAAGATTCGTTTCCGCGATGGGTACTGTCGGGCTATCATTCACCACTTTCGTTTCTTGAGGAGTAGAAGTAGGCAGTTGCCTTAGGCAGAGATAATGAAGGAGACCTTTCCCCTTTAAAGTACACGCTCTCCTCAGCGACGGCTTTTGCCAGTTCAGTTTCGATCCTCAGCTTTTCCTTCTTTTGCTGCAGCAATAATTCCTCTTTCTGGATAGCTTGCCTTTCCTGCAACTTGGAAACTTCCACTGCTAAGGCTGCCTTTCTGGCCGAAATCTTCAATCTCGAGCTGACGGCCGAGCTCACTCTCGAGGAACTGGAACTAGCGACGGATTTCGATTTGTTTACCTTTCTCAGAGATCCGGCTTCCACATTACTTATTGAGTCCTCTGGTCGAAGACTGATCGAAACTGCCAGCTCATCTTCAATCCTAGACTGTGCAGATTGAGGCCACTGATCCATTTCACCAATCGTTTCTGAAACCATGCGCTGAACTGAAGCGAAATACTCGTTACAATCCAGGATGTCAGCTTCATTCACGAGTCTGGCGTATCATTAAGGTGAGCAACGCGAGACGCTTCTTTGAAACAACTCCTTTAAAACCAGATCGCGAATTCTTTAATCGACGAATCCTCTCGGATTTGGTTCCGTGCTCGTCCATCGCAATGAGATGGGTTATGTGAACATCAAACTCAAGATGTCAAAATAATCTTTGAACGCAAATGTAGAGTTAAATGAGCTTGAAGGCACTGGACTGTACCGTAGACTCACATAGTGGTTTAATCGTAGACTCGTGTAGTTGTTTTGAACACGCTTGGACAATGAGAAGCTTCGGGAACTGAAAGCGAATATTATCTCGAGTTACATTTCATACCAAAGCTAAACCCCTACGATAAAGTGACAAAGAAATACAAATATAAACTTACAGATTATTGTCACATGAGGGGAAAAGTTGAAAATGAACAGCGACGCGACGCGTGGTCAGCCCAGTCATCCGTAATCATTCTTAGTCATCCCTTGTCATCCCAGTCATCACTATTCATCTCTAGTCATCCCTAGTCATCCCTGTCTTCCCTAGTCATCCCTGACAGTAGAATTTTCGGGCCTGGGTTTTAAAGACAGAACACGCTTCGCAGGTCCAGGACTGACATGGACCAGCAGGGTCCCACCCACTGGAGTTCTTTTGGAGCGAATTGAACTGGTATTCTCTTTTGAGATGCAGCAGTCTGAACACATTTCAAACAGGCTCCTCAGAAGAATTTGAACTTCCTGCCTTCTGTCCTCTGCAAGGTCAGCCTGAGTACAGACATCCTCTTGTCGGCTCCATATGGAGTGTCCAGCCTCTGATCTCTCCAGGTCCTGCCAAATTAAACAACGACAGCCAAATGACGATGAGAAGCTATTATTAATTTTCTCTGCAAACTACTTCTTGACCTAAAGTCTGTGTTGTTAAAAGTATTGTTGGCGATTTGCGGCATGTACCCAAGATAATGTGATCAGAACAAACTTTTTCGTCAACTGGCCGGTGCTTGTTAAAGAAGGCCATTAGCTTTTGGCGTGCTTCTCCCTGTGGCAAAACATCTCTTGGGTGTCTCACAGGGCAATTTTCCAGACTAAAATGATCAGTGGAGACTAGAGACAGCCCAGCGTCGTCACTTTCAGAGCCTGATGCTGAGAGAGAACAAAGAGATATATGGCTGTTGATCACCAGTAAGAGTGCTTGCACCTGACTTTAAAGGTAAAACTTTGCAGCTTGTGGGCTGAGACACGATGGGGGTAGAAAAGTTCAAAGGGTCCATATTATAGGCTGAAAAATCTCCAATAGAGTTGTTTGATTTAACTTTTGGTTGGGATTGCAGATCATGCATTGTCTCTCAAAGACAAAATCCTTGGTTAAATGGGAGTAGACCAATTTGTGGAGTTCATCCTATGTTCTCATTTTACTTTCACTTTTTGGCTAACAAAACAAAAAAGGTTTCTGGTTCCTTAGGGTGTCTCTTTTTGGAAGCTGAGACTTGAGCAGATCCAGACCTCACAGTACAAACTGCACCTAAAAATATGAGCACTGTTCACTTACAAATTCTGTCACCAAAAGCTGCAGTTTACCATCTTGAGGGGTTTTTAACATTCGTTTTGTCGCACTAAGGTATTTACTAAACCCAAAGAAACGGCTGTAGGTGACTCAGTGCGTTAGCACTAGTTTGTTCTTACCATTAATTTTTTTGGTCATAGTGAGTGATACTTTTATCTTAAAACCATCCTGAGAGCATTTAAAATAAGTAAGGCGATGTAATGTGATATTGGTCAAAATACGTTTTTCCTTTACTCTCATGCCCCTTTTATATGGAGAAAACCTGCCCAGCTTTGAAGAGTCACCTGTCCAACCATCTCAACTTAAGTGTTTGAGAGAAAAAATTGATCCCTTTGCCTGAGCCAAGAATGGTCATACTGAATTGTCATAAGGGGTTGACAAGCCTGACTCAGGCCTTTCACCCGCGTGATTATCTGAAAAATTTAAGCGTGGCGTATCACTCTAAACCCTTGCTGCGCAACACTAGCCGGTCTAAGCTAACACGACCCACCTCATTCAACGCTGCTGATATTAGTGAGATGAAAAGGTCAACATTTCACTGTTCAACCTCTTGTATATTTTTCAAAAATGGTGACAAACAAAAGCAAATACAATGCTGTCAATAGCTTTTAAATTCAAAAAAGATGTCATTTGTAATACAATTAATTATGGTCCATCTAAGCTGATCTTGCTTGAATCCATAAAAACAAATACAGTGTGGAGACACATTGTTAACATATGTACATATCCAAATATCTTTAAATAGAATGGAAATTTTCCGATATCTTCAATTCCCAATGCCTAGGCCCCTTGCTTGAAGCTGTCACATATGGCCAAACAAACGGCTCACTAGATGACAAACAACGCAGTGAGACTTTGACAGAAAGGATATGAGCTTTTTGAATGATTTCATGTCTTTGTTTTACTTGCCCAACTACATCGAATGCCAATATCCAGCAATATGCTTTTTGTACCATGTCACCATTTCATGCAAACGGCCCATTACAAATGACCACTTGCCAAAAGAACCTATTGCTAATTACATATAATCAAAGATCAGAAAAACACTTTCATCAATTTTTATTCACAGCCATTGTTTTTAACGTCTTCTGCCACTAACTGTAGTTAATACAACAAAAAGGTCCATCTTGTTCTATCTCTATAATTTGTTGAGGATCCTGTCACACTATTTACACGTACTTAATCATAACTATAACAAAATTCTCAATCAACTGCTCTGATTTCAGCCTTAATAAGACAGTAAGCGTCATGCCTAGGTTATTGAACAGTACGCCATCATGAGCGCACTTAAATGAGCTTTTTTCACTGCTGGCGAAAATAAGGTCTCGCAGTTTCTTGTGTTTTGATTTTAAAAAAAGAGCCTTATATATCAACAATTTTGTGAAGTTATGATTAATTGGTAACAGAACATTATGTCAGCCAATACTTATTTAGTTAAACAATTCATAAAAATTATTTTCCTGCTAGAATATCCAATCCAATTCAGAAAGAAATGACCATCTTAACTACATATACAAAAAGATACATTTATATAACAGAAATTTTAAAACAAACACCGAAAAATAACCCTTGCAACCTATGTGGTGTGCTCGATTATATCTTGGATTGTAAGTAACATTAAAATAATTCATTTGGTTGAAGTAAACAATGAGAAATCCCATTTTCTATATTAAAAAGGCAACATTGGGCTTAGCACCCTCTGAATTCTAGCGTGGAACCAGGCAAATTAGTGGGGGATCATGCGGAGTACATTTCACAAACAGAAAACAAAGAACAGCAATAAAGAGACCAAGGCAGGGAGAAGGTTGGCCCTCTTCATTGCTTTCCCTCACTACCATTCAGTCCATGCCACACTTCCTACTTTTTGGCCCATTCCCCAGATTCATTCCCCACCAAGCACACTGCTCGTAACCTATCTGAAGTATGGCCTAGTTATACATTATCAAACTTTGGACAAAAATTACATCCCACTTCTGGGTTACTAACACTTTACCAAGTGTAATTTTTGGATGCATCTTCATTGTGCTGATCTATAAGATACAACACCAAAAAGAGAAACCGCCATTGGTTCATATGCTTAGACATTGGGGCAAATCAAACTTCAGTGTTAACATCCTAAAAGATACCAAAAGATAACACCTCAGCAAATTTGTACTGTAAATTTCTCTTAAGGCTATTATATATAGATTTAGCCAGGGCTAAAAGCGAAGCTCCAATTTTAATAAATTTATAATTTAAATCAAACAATAAACTTTTAATCCACAAATCATTGAACTTAAGGGCACATTCATGTGACTTTTGAGGGAAAGGCTAAGTTATTTTAGAGTGAAACATCTTACATCGAATTGATAACCTTATATGTACACCCAAAAAATAGCAAACATCTTCGATCACATTCAAGATCACAGTAGATTAGGCCTCGAAAACAAATTCTTGGAAGACAAATCACGCCAAATTTTTTTGCGTTGGACAGGTTTACTTTACAAATTCTTGCCAACAAATCTGGGG